AATTGTCAATCATCTTTGACGATAGTGGTCCTGACAGAACTGTTGGAGTTGGTCAGAGCCCGTTTTCGCTAGTTGAACATGCTCAAATGGTGTTTGTCAGGTCGTGGAATGTCTGAGAAGTTTCATGATCTTGGTGACTGCCGGTGTCTGTGCAGTGTGAATTGGTCTTTAAAATAGAAAAGGGAGTTGGTTGAGAAAATGTCTTTACTGCAAGATTTGTAGGTTTAGTCTTTTGACACTTTAAAAATAATTAAACAAATGTGTGTGTAGCATGTTGTGTTGATTTTTTAATGGCATTACAATGCAAAAATTATTTTTTTTAAGTGGATATGCATTGCACATACCCACTTAAGATGGAGAGACCAGACTTGAGGTGAATGGTGCTATCAAATTAGCCTCAGCTGCTGACATGGCATTAAAATCTCAACTAACTACCTAATTACCTCTTCTCTCTCTCTCTCTTTTTTTTTTTAAACCCAAAAACATTTTTTAACCAATTGCTAAATGTAATTATCTGTTTATGATGCAGGTGAGCTCTGTTTGGGCCTCTGTGTTCTGTTTTGCACAAAGATCTTATTAGACTGTATCAGAATTTTGGTCTGGAGTAAAACTGTTCCTTTATTCACAGAGAAGATTTGAAAAGTTTTTCTTAATGTGTGAATGCTGAGCAGCAAGTTACAGTACATGTCACATTTATAACATGTAATTCAAAAGGCATTATTGGTAATTCAGTAACCTAATGGCTTGCTTATAGTTGTGTGTAAATTAAGCCAGTATAGCAGATAACATGTAACCAGTAAACACCTTTCAAATTATTATTATTATTTTTTTTAGTTCTTCTTGACAAGCTTCTTCTGAAATGGTTTATATGCCACTTCTTTCTTGTGCACAAAGATCTGATTAGACTGTATAAGATGCTTTTGGTCTGGAGAAAAAAAAGTTACCTTTATTAGAGTGGCTCTGAAAAGCTCTTCTCAATATGTGAATGCTGAGCAGGAAGTTGATAGTGCTGCCACATTTATTTGTAATACTGAAGATGATGGTGACTGACTTCTTAAAGTTCAGAAGCTGCAGTCACAGTTCCCATTAGTTTAATTTTGCAATGATTTTTCATTGTGTCAATAAAGTCGGTCAATTGTAAGTTAAATTCTGGAGAAATTTAGTTACATTTTATTTTTTTTTGAATAATGTACACCAGTTTTGTGATTTCATGTCATACAGAGAAAACAATAACAACAAAAAAAGTGACATTTATTTAAAATATGTTAGCACAAAACATTTTTTTTTAAAAATTGTTAGGGTTTAAATGATAAACAAAAGACATATTATTTACACCAAACTTTGTGGCTGTCTAATGTGATGAATGGTGCTGTAGTTTCACTGCTATATTTGTGTGAACTTGACAAGAACAGTCTTCTCACATCTACTAAAAGCACATTGATAGCAGTTGGCATAGGCTAACAAATAAAGCACGGAGTAGGGAAGTCAGTTCTGAGAAAGTCTTTGTTTGCGGATGCATCTTTGTCATTTTGTATCATGACTGATTGACATTTAGACATTGTGACACTGTGTCCACATACTTTTTGGGTTCACCGCATATTAATTCAGTTGAAGTTCAGCTGGTTTTTGAAAACCACATCTGCACTAACAAACAGTTGAAGGAAGCAGAGGAAGAGCTGTTGACAGACTCCTCTCAGCTTTATGTCTCAGCAGGGGCATTTTTTGGACATAAAACAAGTGTACGATTCTTCAAAGTGGCTTGGAATGTCATAACATGAATGTGGTAATCATTCTGTATCACGGTATTACCATGGTAAACCCACCAAACTTGCCTTTTGTTTCATTTCCATACTCCATCCTCTCAACTCTTCCACTCTACCCTTATCACCCTATTTTTTTTACTGTCCAACCATCTGTATAGATTGTCAATTTTTAAAATATGATTATAAAAATTTGCTACATTTCTTGAACGTTTATACTTTGTCTGGTAGTGTTTCATTAGGGGTTATTTATAAACAATATTGCTGGTTACAGGGCAGAGAGGTCTTACCGGCTGCTGCATGTCTTAGACAACAGCGCCCCCTTCAGCGTATTTGCCTCATTTCACTTGTGCGGTTTGGTACAGTTTGTCACAACTCCACTAAACAGAGTGCCTTGCTATGACCCCCTGTCCACCCTTGAAAGCACCTACAATGGGCACTTGAGCATCAGAACTGGACGATGGAGCAGTGGAAGAAGGTTGGCTGGTCAGATGAGTCCCATTTTCTTCTACACCATGTGGACAGCTGTGTATGTGTGTGCCATTTTCCCAGGGAAGTAATGGCACCATGATGGACTGTGGGACAACGAAAATTAAAAACATTATTTTAGTATTGAAAGAATTGTTTTTTTTTTTACAAATATTTTGGAATTAATAATTAAGAAATATTGTATTTTTGGGACCAATTGAAAGCACTCACATTGGGCACTCACTTAGGTTTTTCAAGCAAAACATTTTATAAAGAGCAACAAAAACAACAGATATTGCATTCAAAATTAACAAAAAGTTTTTTGACACTTTGTGGTTGTCAAGCGCTAATGTGATGTTTTGTTCATCATGCTTACTCTGCTGGGTTTTTTTGTGTGAACATAAAGGGAACTGACTTCACTTCACACATCCACTAAAATTATTTTGACCCAGGCTGGTTTAGCAAAATAAGGCACAGAATAGAGAAGTCAGTTCTAAGAAAAGCTCTTGCAAAATTTCTTTGCTAATGCCACTTGCTTTGTCATTTTGTATTTATGCAATGACACTCAGACACGTATATATATTTAATCGTGTTATAAATTTGATTAAATATCCTAGTCCTATCTGACCTATTGATTTCTCTTCCTCATATACAGCTACACTTGAACATGAACACATGCTTTTCAGAAAAGAAAATAGATTACTTTGTAGACGTGCTATCAGAAACATTTGACCAAGTTATAACTGACACAAAATCACCAAATCACCAAAAGATTTTCAAAGCACAACACAAAAACGTCCCAGGTTACGTATGTAACCATGGTTCCCCGAGGGAACGAGACGCTGCGTCGGAAAACGCTAGGGGAACGCCTTCAGCGATACCAAGCTCTGAATCATATGTGTAATCAGTCGAACGATGGGCGAGACGTCAGCGGCGGGTGACGTCATGACCAGGAAGCTTTAAAAGCACGTGAGGTGCAGCCGGCGCTAGCTTCTTAGGAGTGAAGCAAGCTCTAGTAGGGATGCCGGAAGTATGGCCTTGCGACGCAGCGTCTCGTTCCCTCGGGGAACCATGGTTACATACGTAACCTGGGACGTTTTGCATCTTGGAATGGTATACAACATGATCACAAGTCATGGGTCTGAATTAGAACATATCTGAGGTTATTATTACGTACCTGTGCCTAGCATCAGGTAAAGTTTGTGTCATTGAGTGTAAAAAGCAACAGCTTTTTTGCTACAGCAGGTCCCAGTCACAACCAGAGTCGAAAGACTGGTGTCTCTCATATCAGGGCTCCGGAAACCAGTGCGGAAATGACCAGTGACTTTCCTTCCGTTACTGCAGGTGTGTTATTTATTTTGACTTCACTGGTTCAAAACAGTATGTTCATTTATTATAAAATGGCCATTGTTCAATGCTATTCTCTTTTGTTATAATAAACTACTGTTTTTAAATATTTTGCATTGTTTTAACAGAGTCCTTCCTTCAAGAGCTTAAAAGCTCACTGGGTGAGGACATACATGAGGATGAAACGGCACTTCAAGCCTCAACAGACTGGTCGACCCGAAAGAGCCTCATATCAGGGTGGTGGGAGAAAGAGAGACCCCGACTGGTCAACACCATGGTGGCTCGACAACATGCGGCAACTCGGATCTGCCAACATTGTGGAAATGGTCCAGCCGTTATCCGTTGTTGTGACTGCCGACCACACCCATTCCTCTGTGGCCAGTGTGATGTCAGGGTCCACCGAGGTCAAGTGTTCCACAACAGGGATTCGATGACACGTGCATTTTTTCATCCATTGCCTCCCACAACTTGTGTTGTGGAGAGGGTTCTAACCCAGTGTGGTAAGTTGTAGTTTTTAAAAGTCACATTCTTAGACTTGACTGAAAAACTGATAGGTCGATGAAGCCGTCAAGTACATCTTGTTTAAAATAGTTGCCAGTAAATAAATGTTATTCTTTAATTCTTATCCATGTGTTTTTTTTGTTTTTTTTTCAAGAGCGTCTTGTACCTTTGGAGATGCCAGAGACAATATGCGGTTGTCTACGAGTATCGTCCAGTGTCATCGCAGGACAGTCCATAGTTGTGGTTACAATGAATGGTAAGAAGAACTTTATGGGTTTGGGTGGGGGTCACTTCTGTAGAAGTGTCTGCAGAATTTCACCCACAGCTATTTGCTGATCACACCTCGTATATACTCCCTCTCACTTTTCGTCACAATTATGCACATATACGAATCATGAATATGTTACATTCATACATGTTACATTGTGCAAGAAATTTTCTTTATCATGGCTGGAAATCCAGAGGTGTCAATAGGTTGTGTGTTGATTAGATTGGCTGGGCCCACCTATGTGGAGGAAAACAATTAACCTTTGTTTGAATGGGGATAGTTAATTTGCCTGACAAAAGTGTGACTTCCAATAGAGTGCCTTACAAAATGTTTGTAGAAGTGTCCTCCTGATCCATCCTTAGTCAAAGGTTCCCATATCAGTTGTCAGAATGACACAGTTTGGTCTGTCAGACTTAACTTTGTGTATATATTTCCTTCTTTTTCCAGGGCGATATGATCTCAGATTGCCTCAGATTAGATGCAAAGCATGTGAAGCCACTTGGAGTCCTGGAGTGGATGACCTGATCCGTAATGACTACTGGCCTGCCACTTCTCACTATTCAACTGTGTACGCAACAGATGTCCTTTTTTCTTTTGAAGAGCTGAAGATGGCAGCACCAGGGATGTCTAGCCAAGCATTTCTTAGAATGCTGGATCAACGCACTGTTCGCTTTGGCCGTGTAAGTATTTGTGGTAATAATTGCGTAACTCCATAAATAATACTATGAGGGCATGATGATGATGATAGTACACATGAACATTTGCACTGTTTAGGAAAAAAGTTGTGTTAAATTTAGACCCTTTATAAACAACCATAAACTCATGTTCTCTCATCAGCAGTTTGCACTGAGACATTTCTGAAAAAACAGGTCATTCTGAAGATCTCAACTTCAACTCCATTGGCTACAGACTTTGACATCTTCTCCCCAATATCATTTCCTGATCCCAGAAGTGTTCCCTTGGATTAATGGGCCAAACATTGCACAGGCTTACTTCTAAACAATATGGAAGCTGTTGTAGCCCTCTTTGCGTATAGATTTAGACTGAATGTCAAACAATATCCTGTATTTTTAATGGCCAGGTCCCCCAAATACACCAGTGTATAGTGTATGAGTGAAGTCTACACATTGTTTATTTCCTTTGATATGTATTCTAAGGAGTGGTTACGAAGTTAGTACAAACATCCCAAAATGTATCCATTTAGAACATTTTACTTCAGTGTAGTATATTGTTTAATTTTGATCCGTTTTACTGTTCTCTTTTGTTCTCTTTTACTGAACTCTTCTTTGAAACAGAGCGGAAACATCACAGCAGACAGCTTCCGGAAAAGCTTCTTGGAGTGGGAAGCTGTCCGATTCGAAGTGGACAAATTATGCCAGGAGGACCACTTTGACTGCCCAGCGTGCAGCCCAGACATGCTTGCAGTATCTGTTGATGGAAACCATAAGCACTACAGATTCAAGAGTGCAGCAAGGTACTGTGTGTGCATTGACGGTCCATTACTTTGAAAGTAACTGCTGTGAATTGAAAATCATATGAATATTTAAAGTTAATATGTATCTCTTTTATTTAGATCGGAGGAAAAAGCCATCTTTGATGGCGTGTTCATCGCGAATGATGATGACGTCGCAAGATTCGTGGACTATGTCCATACCTCAACCAGTCATGTAAACTTGCACAACTTCACTATATTTACCTATAAAACACCACGTCCTACAGAGGACTTTGTTTGAACAAGTTTGGACTGTTAACCATCTTCCATGTTTTAGGTCTCTGGAAGAGGTGTCTGTGGAGGGCAATGGTCAGCGGCGCGTGAAACGTCTCAGAAGTCCTCAGGAAAAACAGACGAGGAGGGCCTGGAACTCGCTGTATGTCGTCATGGGGTTCTCCTTCGTGCCCTCAATATGTTCAGGGGGGAGATTTTTGCCTACCCCCTGTACCTCCAAAAGCAAATGGCCTGTAAGCCAGTTACATTTTTTGCAATGGATGTGGCATGCAAGTACTGGCCTTACCTCCAGAGAGTGACAGAGAAATGCCCTGAGCTTCAGGATCTCCTGACCATGAGGCCATTTCTTTCTGTTTTTCATGCCAAAGCTCATGATTTCAAATGTGAGGTAAGAAAAAATGATTGTCCATGACATTTTCTTTCCCTGAAATCCTGCATAAGATTGTTGCCACTTAGGTTTAGTTTTTTTGTTTTCTTATTTAAAGGTAAAATGGAGTGGAGCATATCAGGAGGGGGCTGGTTCGACTCTTGGGGAAGAGGTGGAGCAGTGCAACGCCTTCCTCTCGAGGATTGCTGTTACGACAAAGCACATGTCAAAAGCAGGTAAGGTAACCAGTAAATTTTGATCCTGATGACATGGGTGAGCCACTTTGAGCTCATGCATATATGCTGACTCTGAAAATATAAAGCTCAGAATATTCAACACAAATGGATGGATCGATTACAATACCATCATCCTATTTTATTTGACGTGAGGATAATAAGGAAGGGCAGTGCGATATAAAAAATACACATCAGAGTACCATTCGCCTACTGTCCTGCCATAGTGCTCTATGCCATTTAAATACTGTCCTGCGCCACTGTTTCATGCTATTTCTTCACTATCCTGTGCTATTTACCTAACCCTTTCATGGGACAGTAATCAAATGGCACAAGACAGCAGATTAGTACCATAGTACTGTACTGTAAGTTATTATCTCTGAAAAGTTTGTGATTCAAGTCTGCACAGTTTCTTCTCCTACTGCTACTGGAAAGAAGGGTGATAATCTCATATTTTTTATTTTTGCAGGACGCATAGACATGCTGACGATCATGGCCATGCGCTGGAACCAACAAAAGTTTGACAACTTGGCCGCCGATATCGGAAGGTAAAGACACCAGTTTTCCCTTATGCAAAATGCATAGCGATATTGTAAAATAAAGTGGCATATATCACAAAAATATAGAGAACACTTGCCCAGATATTCTTCAATATATATTAAATATACGGATGGTTGCATGTGTAGTGTCAATTGTATTTTTTAGTGTCTTGATATAAAATATTAAATGTTCACACCACATATATTGAGAGTCCACGTATATATAAGAATATACTGTATATTTAATTAGTGTTGTATGTGGTTTTCTAATAGTGAAGGTACTTCACAATCCTTATCAACAATAGTCAAAGTGGTAGGCGTTTCCCTCATTGTCATTTATGTTTGAAGGCCACAATAGCCCTGCAATGCCAGTTGCATAACCTGGAGGCCATGAAAACGGAAATGGACATCTCAGACAATCAACTGGAGAGGTGGATCATTGATATCAATGAGTGGGCAGAAGGTAGGATATACTGTTTTATACTGTTTGATGTGGTGCTTGATGTATCACTTCTGACTTATCTTGGCTGCAATTCCAAAGAGGCTCATTGTAATCGTAGTCAAAGAGCACATACTGTGATTGCTGATGACGTGTGGACAAGATTATCCCCATGGGGACAATAAAGAACCTAACTAACCTAACTATACTCAACCTTAGCTACAAGTGTAGCCTCACCCGCCGCTGACGTCTCGCCCATCGTTCGACTGATTACACATATGATTCAGAGCTTGGTATCGCTGAAGGCGTTCCCCTAGCGTTTTCCGACGCAGCTCGAGTTCCCGAAGGGGAACCTTAGATTTTAAACAAAGTTACACTTTTTACCAACCAAAACAAGCATACAAACTGCTGAACAACTTCGACAGACACTCTAGAGCTTTCCTTTCACTGATTCAACCATGTCAGTCTTCTAATATGAAGAGGAGTTAAAAAATTAAACTTGCTTATTAAAAAACTAAAAATGCTACAAAAGAGATAAAAGTTTTTATGTTCATGAGTGTATAAGCAGCAGCAGCTGACTGCATTCTTTGTTGTAGTGACCCTCTACAGATTGCAGTGGGAGTTGGAGGTGAGTGGCAATAAGTCAGTTATAAGACACATCATACACTGCGATATATGTTCTAGAATCGTCTTAAAAATCAAATATGTTTGATGTCCTCCAACTGGATAACTCATAAAAAAAAAACACATTTCACGTGGATCCCATGTCGATACATTGTAAAAGCATGAAGACCATGCCTCGCTGCCAACAGAATATCCATTTCTTGGCATATTTGACTCAAATCTATTTAGATGTTTGAATTAAACATTTATTTTTTCCATGCATGCACTTTTGCTATTGGTTTGTTATACTTGTAATTTAAAAAAGATCAAAGTTGAGATTAATTTGATAAAGATTGTGCAAAAAAAAAGAGTGCATAAATATTCTATTCTATTTTTTTTTTAAATACTACACGTTTATGTAATTTTGTGAACCATTATATGGACTGTCTAACAATAAATGCACATTTTATATTCTTCTTTGTTTTCTTTAATCACTGCACATTTTGGATGTCTCTCCTATCTGACACAATCATTTGAGTTCATGGAGTTCTCTTCTGGAGTTATATTTACAGCGCTAATGCAGAGAAAACATGGGCGATTTCATCAGAGATGGCGGATAGAATAGTGACTCGCATCCAGATGGCAGTAAATTATTCTTTTCAGTGTGTATTTGGCTTAAAAGCACGAGTGTTTTATAATGAATGCCGGCTGAAGGTGTTTTAGATTATGCGCTGGACAGTGGTTTAGTTATTCTGAATGGATCCGTATATTAGCATGTACAGTCAGGTTGAGGCAGCATGTTTAGTGGTCTTTTGGCATCTCCCTGCGGTCCTGTTTGGTATCGCAGCTTAACTGGTGCTTATTTACTGTATATTAAAAATGCTCTAAACAAATTTTCTTTCTTTCTTTCTTTCTTTCTTTCTCTCTTTCTTTCTTTCTTTCAGCATTATATATACATACGTTGGGAGTTATGAAAATTTATTTATTTTTTAAATGTATTTATTTATTTTTTTGGAGGGGGGTGGAGGGTACCGGCACTTCTTTTTGTCCACTTCAAGCATAAAACCCTAACAGGGGAGACAGCACAGTTTAGGCAATGGGCTCAAGGAGACCACTAATTAAATGCCCAAATAAGGGGAGTAGTTGCCAGGCTAGAACACAGCTATCCTCGAATAGCAGTTTCCTCAGGCAAGGCTGAAGATTGCCCAGACCACGGAAAGTGGGCTATCTACTTAAAACCCTAACAGGGGAGATAACACAATCCAGGCAAGAGGCTCAAAGACGGCTAACTTTGAAAAGGGGTCAGTATTGAGATGAAACACGGCTATCCGAGGATAGCTATCTTCCAAGGCAAGGACTCAGTGCCTACGTACTTCAGAGGACTTGTACCAAGAGGAACCCAACCTAGTCATAGAAGCCAGGCTGGAATACAGCTGCCCTCAGCTGTTAATACACTTATTTTATTAGATTTTAATTAAAAAATAAGATATACAATTCAAAATGAAAACACTTTTTGACACTTTGTTGTTGTCAAACGCTAATGCAGTTTGTTGTACATCATGTTGACTCTGCAGGGTTTTTTGCACTTGCGAGGAACTGACTTCACAGCCCCTATAAAAACCACTTTGACCCAGGTTGGCCTATAGCAAAAATAAGGCACAGAATACAGAAGTTGTAATGCAATTACATTTAGACAGTTTAAAGTGTGACAGAGGTGTGGGAGAAATATAAATTTGATTATAAATGCCAGTCCTGTCTGAGTCTGACCTATTGGTTTCTCTTCCTGTATGGGTCATATATAGCTACACTTGAACATGAACACATGCTTTTCAGAAAAGAAAATCGATCACTTCCACAGAGCTGACGTGCCACGAGAAAATTTTCAAAAGATGAAGTGAGTTATAACTGATACACAAAATCACACAAAAGATTCACAACACAACAAAAACAAATTTAAATCACAGTTTAAATTAAACAAATTTACACTTTTTACCAATCAAAACAAGAACACAAACTGCTGAATAATTTCAACTAAAGCTTTCCAGCACTAATTCAACCCTGTCAATCGTTTCTATCATTCCACAACAGAAAGAAGGGGAGTTCTGAACATAAACCACTACAAAATGCTGAAAGTTTGTTATAAATGCTAAAAATGCTAAAAGTTCATGAATGTACAAGTGATTAAAAGAACACCTAGCATTTAAGTTAAACATGCAAGTTGATGCTGACACAGGAAGTTCAGTCAGTATATTGTGTTTGTGATTCACACACTTCCACTCAGTCTCAAATCAGCAGCAGTTCAAAATTTACACTGGTTTGACTGTTTTTTCATTTCTGGTTGGAAACTTTTAAAGATTTCATAAATGTTAATTTTGTATATTTCAAAACAATCAATTTGCATTATTTGTGGGGCTTAATATGTGACTCTCATGAATCCTTTTTGTAATTTCTGCAAATGCAAGTGTGTTTTTCCCCACAGGGACTGAGCGTCTGATGGACACTGCAGAGAAAAGCATTCTTTTCTGTTTTCTCTTACAAGGTTTGATTTTCACTCCCTTCTTCTTCTTCTTCTTCTTCTTCATCTAGTAAAGTGTGACCTGTTCAGTGTGACTGAGAATGTAAATTAACTAGATTAAGTGCTAAATTAACTAGTAAATTAACAGTTTTAAGTGCTTAACTACATTTAGTCTGCATGCACGAAAATATACGGTAACTTTTAATTCATATAGTGACTGATACACAAAATGTTTTCTGAAGTTTGGGATCTCATTCAAAATAGACTATTTATAATGTATTATTAAATACATTCATAGTTAATATAATTGTGTTTGAGGTAGATTTCACTGTTGCTGTTGTTCTGCTTATGTTCACCTATTATGATTCATTAATGCAATTATATATAAAATGGAAAAAAAAAAAAAAGTTTAGGACTCTTCAGAAATGTGTTGGTGTGTCTGAATGCTTCAGTGTTTATTTCTGCTTGTGTTTGAATGCTTTTCATCGTGTGTGTTGTACTGTAGCTGTTTGCTGTAGAGATTTCAACATCAGTCTGCCACAGAAGATCGAAGCTCTCAGTGGATCCTGTGTGATCATAAAGTGCAGATTTGAGATTCAGGTACAATATGACAAAAACCTCACTGAGAGAGCTACAGGACAGTGGTTCAAGAACGGGATTGATGTGAACAACAATCTAGTGTTTAACTCAAGCACATCAAGCCAGAACTCCTTCATGAAAGGGAACATAACTGGAAAATTAAAAGACAAAGACTGTACCACTGTTTTTCATGACCTCAGATCAAATCACATTGGTCAATATTACTTCAGGATTGAGGGTGAAGGTGGACTGAAATGGACCTATACAAAAACAAGTGTTTCAATTCATGTGATCGGTGAGTGACTTCATGACTGGAAAATATTATAAACTGTAAATTGTTCTAGTACAAGACAATCAAATCTTTTTCACAATCACCATCTGAAATGAAAATTTGATGACAGTAGTCTAAATGACAACAACATTTCAATCCATGCCAGAGTTTCCATGATCAATATAAATCTTTTTTTTTAAATTTATCTTATTTGAGGGGGAAAAAAAACAACAACAACATTCTGGCGATGATAGTCTTCGACCAAAATGTTACTTTATAATCAGCATATTCATATATACAACATAAATGTGTGTGTATTTCAGACTCTCCCCCCAAACCCAAAGTGCAGCTGTATGTGGAGCAGAAGAAGGTGCAGGATCATTATATTATGTCTAAATAATTAGGCCATTGTATACAGTAACTGACAACAATATTAGCTACTCAACCTTCTCAGTAAGCCAGTTAGTTTTCCTATATCAGTCGTTTATCTTTGCTTCTTAGATGCTCCTAAAAATACATCAGCTTCAGTGAATACCTCCAGCTCTGTGTTGGAGGGCAGTTCAGTGACTCTGACCTGCAGCGGTGATTCAAATCCAGCAGTGCTGAACTACACCTGGTCCAGAGAGAGTGAAGGACAGATGGAGCAGCTGCAGCTGCAAGTCAGCGGTTTTATGTCACTCCTCAGGTGTCAGGTATGTTTTACAGACATTGATTTTTAAGGTTTAATGTTTAATGTATTTACAGATGCATCATCTTAAATACCATTATTTATACATTTTAACAGTTCTGTTGGTGTTGTTCATTTCCAGTTGTAGAGAAAGGCCAAAGGATAAATGCCTCACACATCACACACTTTTATGTAAATGTCTGTATGAAAAGCTGTAAAAGAGCATTCTTTTTTGCTTAAAGACGTGCTTTTGCTTACAAGACAAACCAGTTTTGTTACTAACCACAATTCAAACTGGCTGCTCAGATCATTCTTCTAGAGAGGAGGAGGGAGTGGAATCAATAGCTTTATTAGAATTAGATGCTTTTTATTTCATATAACTGAAAATATCTTTTAGTGGCTCTCCAAAAACATGTATTTTTTATTATCAGGTTTCCACCATTTCTCTTTTTTGGTTGGAGTTGCTGGTGGGGCTTCTCTGATGATGATCATATGTGGCATTTTACTTATCTGTGCAAGGTATGTTCACATTGCCCAAGGTCACTACAAGTCAACAACGTAATTAAGCAATTGAACTACTCAGGGGCCTACCAATGTTAATTAAAAAAGTTTTGAATTATTTTAACAGAAATAGACCAAGTTCTATATTAAAACAGGTCACCAATACAAGACAACTTAGAACAATTTAGGGAGGGGTGGGTGGGGGGGTTCCCAAACCCTCACTTAAACAATAAGCAAATAATGTCAACTCTAAAAATTCTTTGCCCCAGTCATTTACCCTGTTTGTCAAAATTCAAATCCATACATGGCTGATGTTAATGTCAATATTTTTTGATCATGGAAACATGGAAATATATTTTTCAGAAGAGAAAGCAACACAAGACGAGACGGTGGCACTGGACTGATTCTGACTGACAGGGTGAGTTCCCTCAAAGTACACTGTTCATTTTAAAATGCTGCAACTTCTGTTAAATAAATGTTTTACAAGCAGAATACACCACAGCTCTCCACTGCTGATTTGTTCATCTGTTCAACAGGAGGATGAGAGTAGCCCTGTTTATGTCAATAATGCCATGCTGTCTCCTACTGGAGCTGTCACCCAGAATCTTAAAGAACTCCATTATGCCTCCATTGACTTCACAAACATCCAACCAGAGTCAGAAGAGATCAGAGGCGTCTCCTCGCTGACAACTGACTACGCTGTGGTCCAATGTTATCCTGGTGGACTATCAGAGGCAGAGAGCTCAATAGGAGGAGATCAGCTCAACAGCGGCATCTCAGCTGTAATGAAGTCTGAGAAAAATCAAACCATATTAGAGCAGGAGAGAAAGATGGGAGAAGTGTTCTCCCAGCCATCAGAAGACACAACATATGAAAATATCACCATCTGAGCTAGAATTGCTCACACAATCAGTGTTTTGTCATGTAATTACAATGAATATCAGCTGGAGCTTTCAAGCATGAAACAGAAGCTAAAAGAACCAAAAAAGTAAAAAACACAATATAACTTCTGAGTTATGTATATAGTCATACGATAGTATTTTTCTGTGGACAAAAGACAATTTAGCCATTTAAGGAATATTTCAAGTTCCTCTTTTGTTTTCTTAAAAAAAAAAAGAAAAAAAATGGAGGTTACAGTGAGGCATTGTGACACACATTGGAGTGAAACGGTGGGATTTTGTCCACCAGGAACCAATTAAATCATTATCCTTTGTTAATCTCATGCGAGTGACAGGTCGCTGGAGAGGAGGGAGTATTGCCCTGCCCTTACATTGCATTGTCATTGCAACAAAGTTGTATAATTGGATAAAATCTTACAAAATACTCAAATCATGCAAAAATGCATATTCTTTACATTTTGTGTCTATACTCTTGAAACAGTGAGTATTTTAAAGTTTACGAACTGGCCCCATTTACTTCGAGTGTATGTACTACACTGTAACCCATGCTTTTATTATTGTTATTTTTTAAGAAGCTTTTGTTTTAAATAATCTATTTTTAATAATATTTACATGGTATATTTACATGGCATTTAATCCATATCTGATTAGACTGTATCAGCTTCAGATCAGGGTGTAATGTTATATATATTTCATTAGTGTGAACAGCTGTAAACCTTAAGGTCTATATAGCCCTACTTGCCAAAACAATCACAGAAAATACAGGATTTATGTCGAGAAATGGAAAGTTGCAATATATGTTATCATTTGTATGTTGTGTAACTAATTCAGCAACTGTAACTACACAGGGCAGACTGTTTTCTCATTTCTGGTACGCTTGTATTAAATTCTCTCTCTTTTTTTTTTTTTTTTACTTTAAATGCTAGTTTACTTATAGCAGGACCATTTATTTTTTGTACATATTTACATTTGATTGTTTGTATAAGTTTTTGTAAGGCCAATTCACATTGCACAGACAGACAGACATTGACAAATGTTAACAGACAGTTCATCGGGTGTTGTTGAATCAGTGTGTTACCCCCGTCGGTATATCAAGCGTAGCGTTAGTTCTGGCAGGTCACGTTAGTCAAGCTCGCATCAGCTGACTCTCAGCTGATCCCCATCAACCTATGGGAATACGACACCTATCTAAGCATTCATATATAAGGTCCCGCAGTAGTAGCAGCAGTTTTCGCATTGCTCAATAGCTAATTACCCTCCTCCATCCCCAACTCCTCCTCTGTCAGTCAGGATTCAGCCTTCTGATTCTCCTTTGAATCAGACTAATTCTAAAATGTGTACATAACATTATTGAACTTTAACGATATCTGCAATACATTTATGTTGGTTCTGTTCTGTTTACCCTGGGGGGTTATTGCTGCTCTCCCTGCTCTCATCCATGCTAGGCTGCATGGATGCGCAGGGAGTTCTTGCCCAGAACAGAACCATACCACCAATCCAAACTGTATGCTAATTGTCAATCATCTTTGACGATAGTGGTCCTGACAGAAACAGAGCGTAAGTTTCATGACTCCAACCACCATCAAACAGCAAGAACTGTTATCAAGATATGAATTAGCGAATTTGCTGTTTGATGATTGG